TCTCTGAAACATCTTCTGCAAATGTCAAGGCCGTATTTTCTGATTAACCCCTTACGAGCTCCACATCTTCTGCAGTTTCTGGCACCCTTTCCATTTTCTCTCTGATGGCTGCAGTAATTGGTATAACTTCCCATTACTTTTTTCAGTTTAGGGTTTTCCTTTTTTCTGTATTACTTCTCCTGTAAATAGTATAGTACTTTATATTATTCTTTTATTATTCAAAAACTCAACAAACATTTTAATAATCACCAATTTTATAGTTATTTTACTAAAAAATTACACCTCCAATTTATTACATAATTTACAAATGTATTATAATAGAATTAATTAATTAACTATTTCAAAATATCAAATAAAAATCCGTCAAAGTCGAACTCAAATTTCGAACTTAAAAGTGAACTTCAGAACTCAAAAGATCAACAGTTATCATGTCTGACTTAGAGAAGTTGAAACAAATCAATGAAATGAAATTCAAAGACCAGGCCGTATGGATGTTGAATGCTATGTGGCCGAAGGATGGTGATTCCAAAGCCGAAGAGATCTGGAAGTTTGTAGCCACATTTTCCGAGTTAGAACAAGAGAACCACGCTGAAGGCAAAGACTTAGATGAGATGAATATGCACCGAGTCTTTGAGAAATTGGGGAACCAATTAACAATGCAAGAGATGAGAACACACTTGAGAAAGATCGGCGTCACTCAATTCAAGAAGATTTCAATGATCAACTTTTTGATCTTCTATTACAAGTATGACACACATGAAGTTGTTAATGCACCACAAGGAGCCAATGGCGCTGAGTTGGAGAAGGCTAAGAAGATGTTAGAAGAAGTCACTACGTTATTCAATGCGGCCACCGAAAAGGCACAAACGTCAAAGGCAGCTGCTGCAGAGTCGAAGAAGAGAGCAGACGAAGCAAAGAAAACTGCTGAAGCGTGCAAAGAAAAACAAGCAACGGCGACTGCGGCCGCAGAAGTGGCCAAAAAAGATGAAGAGGTGGCGACACAGAGACAATCTGAGGCACAAGCTGCTGAGGAAGAAGTGACCAAAGCGCTGAATGTCGTCAAGTCACAAGAAGATGCTAAGAACAAGAAGAGAGCCGAATTACAGAAGAAAATTGAGACTGCCGGTTTAGTCGCAAAGAACGCTGCTATTCAAGAATTGGCTAAATTGGACAACGAAGACGATTTACCAATGAGAAGAGCTAAAACCACTTTAGAAGCTGCTCAGAGAAAGGCATCAAAAGCTCGTTTGTTTCATATATTTGTGTCGTATAGTTTGAATTATAATAACTTCTAGTTAAAATTGCTACCGACGCTAAGGACAAGGCGACGGAGACGGCTCAAAAGGCGGAGGAAGCTAAACAAGAAGCAGACAAAGCTAAGGAACAAGCAGATAACGCAGAACAAGAGGCTGTCGAAGCGGAAGCACTTGCCGTTAAAGCCGCAGAAGAAGCTGAGAGTGCAGTTGAAGAGGCGAACGCCAAAGTCGCCGAGGCTGAGGCGTACCTTGCTGAACAACAACAAAAGGCAACTGGTGCTGGGCAAGGTGCTATTTGGTTCATGCAGAGAGAAGTCACTGAGAAAAAGAAGTTCATGCCTGTCCGTAAGGGTGGTATTGCGAAATAAAGCAATTCTTTCATTTGCAATTAGTTGAATAACAAAATCAATAACATTTCAATAGAGAATAGAAGTCACTATTTTGAGGGAAAACTGAAAAACGAAGACAATGGTAATTGCTGTTGTGTTGGTACTGTTTTGTGATATGGTTTGTGCAATTCAAACCAAAAATGTGACGAACTTGATCCCACCAAAAGAAGCGGAAAGGTTCCAAAGACTCTTAAAAGAGAAAGTGTCAAATGAACTCAAAGACGACCCATCGAAGAGCATCAGTTTGGGCCATTTAAATAAGCTGAATATGCACTTCAAAATACTCAGCGACGATTTGAAAAAAGCTAATAAGAACAAAGGACCAATCGATGTTATTAGAATCCCAAGAATACAAAAAAGAATTTTGGAGACCCAGAACGAAATCAGTGAGGAAAGAGCACGATTAGATAAAAAGGTTGGGAGCATTGCGAAGATAATGGCCAAGAGTCTACGAAAGTACCAGAAAATGTGACAGAAGA